GAAAATATCAAGAATGCTAAATTTACATTCATTCCCTCACGTTGATTCTGACGTTCTCTTTGTTTTCGAAAAATTGTTGCCGAAAAAAGTGTTATTTTGAACTGTTCAATGGTGTGCTGTCACGTGACACAATGTAAATAATGACATGAAAAATGATGTACATGTACCATGATTGTTGAAAATATACGTGGCTATGCACGATTTATTTGTATTTAGTTTAATTTGTAAGCAAATCAGCTTAGTTGTCTCCAATATAATTATAAGATGGTGGGGGACTTTGCAATCATTGACTTTAAAAATTTTATTGTTTGATTGGGAATTTTCAAATCCAAATTCTACTAATTTTAGAAAATATAATAAATCCATGAAGAACATGTTACTAAACTTAAAGTCATATCTTATACAGGTGGGGTTGAAGCATATCGATCCCAACTAAATTGAAATAATTTATTCGAATTGACCACTTATTAGTATAGTTCTATTCTCTTTTTTCAAATAAATAAAAATATTATTCATAAAATATTTTAATTATAATACATTCTCACAGGCTTATATGAACCAACTTTAAAGACAAATCAAATTGAGTCTGATCACGTCTTCTTCTTTATTAAGTTGGAGAGGGAATTTTTATGTATGGTTATATCAAAAGAGTAATGCTATTCATCCCCACTTGGGGATGAAAATACAGTCTATGTGGTGTCAATGTGACATTAAATGATAGATGAAATTAAATGACTTATTTAATTTCACCTTTCATTTAATCTATTATTTAAAGCTACGTAAACTGTGTTTTCATCTCAACTGAGGATGAATAACATTACCAAATTTTCATTCTACATCCCAAACTACTCGATGTTTGGCTTGGACTTACAAAACAACTTCAATCCATTCTCACGTTGATTAAGGTAAGCGTTTCCACAAAAAATTGAAAATATTGAATTCCACTTAGAATAAATTCCAGTTAGAATAATGTATATAAAGTCTTTTAACTCTTTATAGCTTAGTAGTTAAGTTTAGAGTTATTTTTATAGAAGGATGTAAGGACATGGGTCCCAACTATTATTAGCCCCTGTTTGAGTTACATTAAAATTTTCATTCTCATTCTTCTACTTATTTTCAATCACGCATTCTTCAATAAAATAATATTTTCCACCACATCAATATCTTTTCCTTCTTTTTCAATAACACATTCTCAATCAATCTACTATTCCAAAATACATTATTCCAAAATAATGTGGTTCAAACACACCCTTATTATTATTCCATGTTTGAGCCACATTAAAATTTTCATTCTCATTCTTCTACTTTCGCATTCTTCTACTCATTTTCAACCATACATTATTCAATAAAATAATATTTTCCATCTCATCAACATCTTTTCCTTCTTTTTCAACAACACATTCTCAATTAATCTACTATTTCAACCTCTCTCTCTCTCTCTCTCTCTCTCTCACACACACAAGTTATTTTTATAGAAGGATGTAAGGACATGGGTCCCAACTATTATTAGCCCCTGTTTGAGTTACATTAAAATTTTCATTCTCATTCTTCTACTTATTTTCAATCACGCATTTTTCAATAAAATAATATTTTCCACCACATCAATATCTTTTCCTTCTTTTTCAATAACACATTCTCAATCAATCTACTATTCCAAAATACATTATTCCAAAATAATGTGGTTCAAACACACCCTTATTATTATTCCATGTTTGAGCCACATTAAAATTTTCATTCTCATTCTTCTACTTTCGCATTCTTCTACTCATTTTCAACCATACATTATTCAATAAAATAATATTTTCCATCTCATCAACTTCTTTTCCTTCTTTTTCAACAACACATTCTCAATTAATCTATTATTTCAAAATACATTCTTTCAAAATAATGTGACTCAAACACACCTTATTCTCCCATCTCTCTCAAGTTATTTTTATAGAAGGACGTAAGAACATGGGCCCCAACTATTATTATTTTCCAGCCTCTCTCTCTCACAAGTTATTTTTATAGAAGGATGTAAGGACATAGGTCCCAACTATTATTAATTTTCCCCGCCCTCTCTCTCTCTCTCTCGAGTTATTTTTATAGAAGGATGCAAGGACATGGGTCCCAACTATTATTATCTTCCGATCCCTCTCTCTCACAAGTTACTTTTATAGAAGGATGTAAGGACATGGGTCCCAACTATTCTCTCTCTCTCTCGAAAGTGCAGTCGGTCTAAACTTTTACCTCAACCTTTGAAAATGACTTTTTAATTCTCTATCCTTATTTACATTTGCATATTTAGTCATTTTCAAATTATTTTTTTAACTTATGCATTAATTTCTTCACATAAAAAACTGTATTTAACACTTCAATCTTTTTATCTTTTCTTCATTTTCAATTCCAAAATCTAGATAAAGAAATACTCCATCCCTTTTTACACACAAATCTCATCAAAATATAGTTGAATGTACGGTCATTTGCGAAGAAAGATGTGTAAAATGTTCAAAAAAGAACGATGAATTTTCAAAAAAGAATATAATTGTACTTTTTCTTTGCTTATATTCGGGGAAATCTTTTTACGTTTTGTTCACTTTATATTTATATTTATGTGCATCGAAAACTTTGATTTCAGTGAAGTAATACATCGGCGACTATGGGCACCATAGAAAAACATGCAAACAACCGCTGCTTTTGCAATAGATAAAAAGGACACCACTGGAATAGTTAAATTCTTAATTTTATTGTTGTCATCTACATTTTAGAATAGTTCTATTATGCTTAGATGATTTTTTATGAACCATCCATGGCGTTTATTGTTGAAACTATTGTTCAAAAGTAATAAAATTGGATTTGGAGGCCAAAAGTATATACTATGCGACCGCATAGTTTGTCTGGAATGCAGTCACATATAGACTTGTATGGATTTAAAGCTCTGCAGATGATTCTTCTATGCAACCGCATATGGGTGTTTTATGCGAGAGGAATGCGGTCACATATAGACTTACATGGATTTCAAGCTCTGCAGATGATTCTTCTATGATGCCGCATATAGTTGTTCTATGCGGTCGCATAGAACAAAAAAGTAGCTGTGGGTTGACCTTTTTTGTTTGAATTTGTTGCGACTTTTGGTAACTTTTCACGGATTTTTGGTGTCATTTCGTGGGTATTGACGGAGATCTATAAATAGATGTCTTGTGATCAATACCAAATACATTGAAAATAATATAGAAATCCATTGAAATCATATTCCATTCCAAATGTGAAAAAAATACTCTTCTATCATATTCAAAATTCTTCTTTGTATTCTTGAAGTTTTGGTAGAAAACACTAAGATGTTGTTCTCTTCGTATTTTAGTTTTGTGTTTTTAATTTTGAATTCATTTTGCCTTTTGGGTTTTTAGCGTCTATTTTGAGATTGTTGAAAACGTGTTCTTTTTGCCATTTTAAAAAATGTTTTGAAAATCCCAAAATGCATTCTCACTTGTCTCTGTCTCTCTTCTTCCCTCCTCTATGTAACATGTCGAACCCCATCCTATGGCCACCGTCTTCATCGCGGACCACCATCGGTCGACCGCTCACCTCCGGGCGACTGAGAAACAACCCTCAATTTAGTCAACAATTAATCGAAATGAGAGTCACGATCCCGTTTCACGTAGTATGAAGAAATCTGTGATTTCGGTGACGTCCGTTCAACCCATGGTCACGGAGCACATAGGTTACCTTCTTCTCCCTCTGGCGCACATAACCTAACCATGGGTCAAGCCCAATTTCATCCACAACTCACTGATTTTATGGATGAACTTAGGGTTGAAAACTAAAAATTTGTAGTGGTGGTTGTGGTTGGTGATGATGATGGTGGTTGGTGTTGTTGATGGTGGTGGCATCGTGTGGTGGCGGTTTTTGTGGTGGTGGATGTGGTTGGTGATCTGACGGTTGTGTGGTGGTAGCTATGGTGGTTCTGGCGACAGTGGTGTTGGTTGGGGTGATGTTGTGGCGTGGTAGTGGTTGGGGTGATAGTAACTGAAAACAACAAAAACGCGTTTTGAAAATTTTAGCTAAGTTATAACTAAAAATACCCAAAACGACAAATTTTAAACTTGTCGTTTTGGATTTTCTTTGTAAATTTTAAACTTGTTTTCAAAAATGCATTTTCGAAAATAGAAAAGAGAACGTATTTTCACTATTTTGAAAAATCGAAAACAGAAAACGGCTTGAAATCGGCAAAGAGAATATGTAATAAGTGTTTTTCTATTACAAGGTTTGATATATCCTACAAACACCTTTAAGGACCAACATTCAATCCGATAGGGTGCAAATATCGTTTGAGGACAACGATATCATTTTTGTGTTTGAGCATTTTTTTATTGTTCTTTGACGTTTTTGATTACATTCTTTGGTTTCTTCTTCAACCCATTTTAAGTGGGAGCAATATTTTCCAACAATTTCAAACGATACTTCTGCAATAGAGGATGGAACCACCATGGCTACAATCAAGTGATGAATCCACATTCATGTATTTTGGTAAATCATTACTTTGTCTTTTCAACTATTTTGGTAAGTCGAATTCTATTTCGATTTCATGAGCATAAAAAGATACGTGTTGATTTGAATATAATATGCACATTATCGATGTAATATCTCTAACAATTTTCATTTCCATTTTCAGTTTCAAGTCATTTTACCAGGGTTTTGTAATGTAAGTGTTCATAATTCCATTCTTCAGTTTCACCATGGAGCATGCAAATCTGCACTCCTGCTATTGCAAGTTTGATTTTATCAGATTATCAAACTACTAAAAATTTCGATTGTTGGAGAGTCATGCCCAAGTTTCACATTTGGGATTGTTGATTGATATTTTTGCCGATTTTAGGCTTAAATCCCAACTGGGCATTCTCCAGATTTCAGCTAAATCCAAAGTTCTTGCTAAAACTTCATCTGGGTCACTTGAATTTTGATTATCTAGGAAAAAAGAAGCAATTTCTCAAACTTTATCGGTTTTTCAAAAATCTGTTGAAATGGACAGTGTTCATGCAAATGATACTCGAAGAGTTCATGGTATAAATAATGCATCTAATCAACTATATTCCATTCAATCAAATACTGTGTTTGGGCATTTCAAGAAGCCCAGATTTTCTGAAGCAATGACAAATTCAAGGGTTTCCCTAACAATCAACAGGTCAAAACTGGACATTCCCTTCAAATCAGAGTTGTGCATTGCTATCCGAAAGGGCAAATGTTCTTATGGTGACAATTGTCATTATGCCCATGGCATTAATGACATTAGGAATCCAACAATGGAGGGCTTGAAAATGGGTATCAAAGAAATACAACGAATAAATGGAAAAAGTGCTTTAGGTTTTCGAGCGGGAAAGATTGTCCTTATGGCGATAAATGCCAATTTCTTCATGAACTTGTAGGTGAATATAGGGAGAGTTATGCTATAAGAACTGTGAATTGGGCTGATCAGATTGAATGCAAGAGTTTGAATGCAGGTCAAGAGTATCAGAGGCAGAATTTTCGCAAGACGAGGCTCTGCAACAAGTGGGAGAAATATGGAATCTGTTATTATGAGGTGAATTGTCTCTATGCTCATGGACAAGAAGGTATATCATCGCTTTCCTTATTTTTACTGTTATTTGTTTCTTTTGTTCTAAATTCGTTTACCCATGCAATTTCTTTAGTCATTGTTTCCATTTATTGTATGTTCTGCTGCAGATATGACATCTCATGTATAAATCTTTTTTCTAACTATGCCTATAGGAGGGCTGTTTAGAGAGAAAAGTTTCTTGATGTAAAACTTGTTTCTCGTGTGAGATAAGGGCACATCTGAAACTATGCTATTTAGCAAAGTAGTTCTTATCTGCCATGTTATTGCTGTGTCGAGTATAAGAAAACTCTTTTTTTGCATGCTTGAAAATATCATTCTGTTTTGATCACACAGGCTTGATAAGTCATATAAGTAATAGGTTCTTGTCTCAATCCTTGAGAGAGTTATTGGCTAAACATTCACAAGGAGTTTTCTTTTTAGTTTCTTTTTTGAGTTCTTGCTGAAAACCGAATGTAAAATTATATTGCGGATGAAAATGAATCGCAGTGTTGTTGAGCATTTGAGAGCTCAACTCTATCCCAAACATTCCCTTATTTCTGCCCTAAAAAACAAATGTACACCCTACCCTATTTTATAGTTAGATGCCTCTTAACTTTTTTTCTACAGAATCCCATAATGCACCTAAAAACTAACAATTAACTGGAAGAAACTAGCAGGGTGCCTAACATTTTTGTGTGCTTATAACTGTTCAAAATGAATCTTATTTAACCAAACAATGTTTCATGAACCCGCTTGAATAAATTTTTGAAGGGGAATTTTCTCCATTGCTCTGAGTTCTCTTGTATAGGAAATGAATGCTGATTAAAGATACTTATATCTACCCAAGTTTTTCGTATGTAAGAAAATGGCGCTGGTTATTTAACTTAATGTTGAGTGGTAGTATTTCTATCTTCTCAAGTTTTCTAGATCTAATCACACTGAGGATAAGCACAATTTGACTTCTCGTCCTTTCTTTTCAGTTAACAGGTTAGTGAATCACAACTACAACATTTTGGAAACATCATCTTTCGGCCCTGCAAGACATAATTAATTAGCTATTTTATCTTATGTAAATATTTGGGTTCACTTCTTTGAAGTCACTAGGTTTTGGATGTGTCTAAAAGAAGAACTCAGCAGAAGCAACATTTAAGGAAATTTATGTTCTTGAGAGTGTGAGATGAAATTGAGAGGTTATCCGGTAGTAGATGGTGCTGGAGATTTTATGGTTACATTTATGTAGTGCCATATCTTATATGGCCTAATTTACCCAAGCCTCTGAATCTTTGTTATTCCGCAGATTCTTTGGGTGATTTCGTTACTTTCTTTTCCATTTTGGATGTTTGATGTGCATATATATTTTTTCCTGAGGTTTTATGGGTGAAAAAATGGAAGTGCAACTATTTACAGATTATATTTGATGAATACAGAGTTGAGCAGTAATTTCACAAGTATACTAAGGGGGTACAGTTAACGTTCTATGGAAGGCATGTGTAGCAAGGGATAAGTGCAGGAAGTTGTTCATCGATGTCTATCATTTTAAGGATTAAAATGGCTTCATTACTTGGTCCTAATTTCCTCTTCCCTTTGGTTGAGCATTATATGTTTTAACCTAAAGCAAATCCTTCGTTCTTCAAATCATGCAAGGCAAACGAGGATCTCTTATTTTGCATTTTACATACCTTAACAGAAGTTGAGTTATCGCCGTAACATAGTTGAAATGCAAGAGACTCTTGCTGGATAGCTATTGTGATTCTTTCCATTTATCTGCTTCTGTCACTTTCTTGGTTTTCCCCTCTCTAGGGGAAAGATGGGAAGATAAATGGTTGACCGATTCTGGTTTATTTGATCGACAGAACTGCGAAGGCCTGGCTCCCTTGTTGAGAAGGAACATGCATATTCTTCCAATGCAAAAATTGTTGGACAATCTAATGATTCGGGAAACAAGACTGCACATGAGCTGACGCTACGAGGCAAAAGGTGCTTCATGAAGTGGAATGTTGAGAAGATTGGTTGTATCTATGCTGATTGGATTGAAAGCTGAATTCAAGACTGTATATGGATTATAAATTGATAATCTGTTGCTTCATTTTCCTTTGCGAAGATAATGAGAGTGTTGATCTTTACTGTTGGCAATTCGGTCAAATTCAGAAGTTACCTGAATGACCAAAGACTTGTTATTTGGCTTTTCTTTCTGGTTCAAGCTTCTCTATTGTAGATCCGAAAAACAGAACTGACAGTGTGATTTTTAGTAAGAAAATGCATCTTGATCTTCTTTCAATTGATGACATTGTTGGGACTTAGAACTGGAGCAATTAATTTTTGTAGTATTTTTTTTTCTGGCTCTAATGGATGTTACATGAATAGTTTCATGAAATGTGGAAGGCTGGGAATGAAATAAGTACATGTTTTTCTAAGCTTTAAAAAAATTACTTCTAGATTTACTTAGAAGTAAATTAGTGAGTTTCAATATTAAATATATATTTTCTTTTGTTAGTCAAATTTAAAAATGAGTTATTTTTTCCTTTAGGTAAATTACAAGATGGAAGTATTTATTCTTACTTGAAAAAATAAAATAAAAAACAAAGTACACAACCTAAAGAGCGGAGGAAGGAAGGGACAAAATCTATGCCCTTGTCTAGAAACACTATTAATCAGAATTTGGAACGTTATGGCCATAATTGTTGACCCAGTTGTGAGAGAGTGGGTCCCATTTTTTAAAAATAAACGGTAATAAAATCAATTCCTTGCTGATTTTAATTTGCACCAGACAGCTCCTATATCTCATTTAATCTCGTCGCCATCACTGTTATTAGGTGTAAGATTTTGTAAGCTCGTCACCTTTTTGATAATCACTTTCCTCGTTAAAATTCTTTAGTGTTTGTACATAACTCATCTTCACTAATTCTATACCCTCGTTGATATTACAATGGGTATTCATGGACATTCCCTACGACTTAGCCTGTGTTTGGTATACATTAATTGGCCAAAAGAATAAAAAATTTGACCCTTTTTTAACTATTTCAGCCATTATTTTTGACTTGTGCTCTCACGCGTGAGTCCCATCGGCAAGTCCTAGTCCCTTAATACTGAGTTGGGAGTTATTACTACCTGATTGCTGATTAGTTTTCTCGTCAATATTTAATTGACACGTTCAAGGTTATTTTTGTTGACCAAAGACGTAAATGTGTTGGATCCCAATAACGATTCTTTTACAGGCATTCCATTGCAAATTTTAACTGTCAACTCACTTTGATGTGAGGGTAGGGATGGCAAGGGCACTCGAGAGGCTGAATAAGAACTAACATGTATTTATTATTGCACCATTTATTTATTTATTTTAAAAAAAGCAATAATAATAATGATCATTTGAACGAAGACCATCCTAATTTCACAACAAGGCGAGAAAACACAAGGCAAGTCAGAGGACAGAGAATTTTGCCATGATAGTTGTGAAACTCCAGAAAAATTATTAATAAATATTTAGAAGGAATAGCAGTGAAAACCACAAAATGCATGAATAATAATGAGTAGTAATTTTAAATGTATGGATTAAAATAAAATTTAACTTTGAACAAATAGTTTAATTTCCTAAAAATGTTTTCCAAACAGAGGCAAAGAATAGGGTAAATTATGGTAAACACCATTTTTACTTGGTTTTCCCCTAAATCTCCGGAAGAGCCAATACCGAATTGGATTGAACACAAGTGACTCCATCTTTGGTCCACATTATAAGTTCACTTACCTTCGAATCCAATTAACCGATGCACCATTACTTCAGTCTGCTTGTTTATTTAACATGAAGATCACCCAATGGTAGCCCATCAGTTAATCAAATTCTTCTCCTTGCATGAGTGATCAAATTTACTAATACTTTTGACAATAAAAATACTTGGCACCCAAATTTGATTCTTCAACAGTAACTTCTCTAACAGTGCATTTCTTCCTCTCAAGTAACTGTATTCTCATGATCAACCCTAGTAGAACATGGAGAGGAAGTATTCTTGGATGCTCATTATGCTCTTTCTTTATGTAACTAGTTTATTCATATGTAATCGTTGTATAGTTATTGAAACTTTTCAACTGTTATTATTACAACCGCACTGGACCCTCTCACGTTCCAGTCAACCAGTGAGTTCTTCCATTAAGCCCTGGGGGTAATGAAAAGTAATCAAGATGTCAAAAGCCGGGGACTAGTTATAAAAGAATTTGTTACATGTAGACAGATGCGAGTTAAAACCTGAGAGATGTACTGCTCGGCATCAGTTCTCCGCAGGAACAACATTGCATGACGAGCTAGGTTGGCTACCTGATCACTAAGCACAACCTCACCAATATCATCGAGAACCCTCACCTTGATGTATGGATCTTTGGGAGGAACCATATCCTGGGAAAGACGTGAATAGAGTAAAATTGCTAGGACATTTATGCTAATCATCAGTACCATTGAGATTTCTTAGAATGACATTAATTCAGTTGTAAACCATTATAAATGAATAAGTCGAACCCTTACAAAATTAGCTACATACGCTATGTTCTTCTGAAGTTATTGAATTCCAGCTGTAAACTATAACTCATGACAGACATGCATAAAACCACCCTTCCAAAAGAAAAATAAAATAGGAAAACAATTCTAATGCAAATGAAGGTTCATAACATCAAATTAACACACGAGCAAAAAGTATATAAATTCTTATCAAAGTGGTAATTCCAGCTTGGAAGCATTCTTGAACTCAATTTTTTGTTTTCCAATATATTGAACCCAGTGTTGGAAAACAAAAGGTGTGATTGTTTTCCCGTTTTAAGAAACATTTAAAAGAAACAAATACGTCAACAATGTTGAGAAAAAGCAAACAAGTAAATAGTGTCCCGTGCATAGAGCATATGTTGTTTAGATGTCCTTGTCAAGCATAATATTTTTATAACAGGGCAAGAACATGTTTCAAGTGCTTCAGACCTTGGCAAAAAAATGTGTTATAACATATGAACCTCCTGTCAAGTACTAAATATATACCCTAAAAACTCTTAATGATATTTTTTTGGAGTGAATATCTGACATAAACCATTGCATAGGGTTGATGCAGTTTAAGACCCAATATAGACTAAGGAACTCCAATTCATACCTTCTCTGACACCTACAGGTAACCTGTGCAATCGATCTGGGCTGACAGTTTCAAATAGAGGCAAGAACATGACAAACAAGCAACACACAAAAGCTGAAAGTGCAAAGATCCCAATAGAAGCCCAGTCGCCAGTGTTCTCAGTTTCTGTTAATGCTTTCTCCAAGATGCTTCTCGTGAATCTACACCTTTCTTTCAAATTTTGTTTCCCAAGGACAAAGGAATAGCTTACTTATAGGCATCAACAAGCTTAGCGAAAATTTAGATGAGGTTGCGTGAAAATAGCAAGGGGGAAACATATCCAGAAGTCATTTTTGTTGAGAGGCCTTTCACTCAGTCATTGCTCATGTGTACTAACTGAGCAAAATGGAACTTCCATATATTACATCTTAAAGGCGAGGTGAGGAACAAGCAATCATCTGCCTCATAATTGGCTGCTAAAACAATGAAGAGAGTGGGAATTAACTAGTAACTAGGATAATTTTATTCTGAATGTTCTTGCATAATTGATTAAACTCTCAAAGCTCTTTTAATCAATAAATTTGGGTTAGCCATTTACTATAAATACTTTAACACATTTTACAATGTCATTCAATTTTATACCCTTAAATTATTTAATTGATATTTTAATTTTCTAATATTATGTTGTGGTGGCCCTTTCATACTACATATTCTCAAACTTAGGCACTGACTCTGTCTTGTTCAGCTACCTAATGCTCCTCAACAACCCCCTAAGTTATCGAATTGTGCCTACCTCAAGACTACAAAGATCAAGTACAAATGTTGCATTTTGAAGAAATGTTGAGTGGAGAAGAAAGAAAACTTGAATTAATTCAATTTGGGTTTCCATCAATAAATATCTTTTCTGGCAATTGTACATTCCTAGTCATTGCAAGCTAAAATATGCAAATTGAACTTTAAAACTGCTAGTTTTCATAGGAGAAAACTAAAAGCCTACCAAAGTTACTTCAGAAATAAGAGAAGCAGTATTCACATTGAAAGATGAACACTCAAAGCTTTCCACTCAACAATAAGGGCCCGTTTGGCATGGCTTTTGAGAAGCCAAAAGGAGCTTTTGAAACCCAAAAGCTTCGTTTTGGACCAATTTGGTTAATTTTATAAAAGTGATTTTTCTAGTTACAAGAGCTTTTAGAAAAATCTGACGCAATATGACTTCCTCTAACAGCTCTTCCGGAAGATAAAGCTCTTTTAGAAACTAGTTTTCAATTCTAATTAAGGTAACTTCCTCATTAGCCCCAACCGGGCCTAAGACTTGTAACAAGATGGCATTGTTATATATTAGTTGATGCCTATATGAAATTCAACAGACTTCAGTCAGCAAGTAATCTGAAAGAATTCCAAACAGATCAATATACAAGTTTGGCAGATTTTTGAGGGACCTCCCTCTCTCCCCACTTTTCTCTCTAATCCTCGATGGATCCTACACTACCCTCCCCCTTTATTTATATTCGGGCTGCAATTGATTCCAGAAGATTCTCAAATTATCCCCTTGTGAATCTGGGGCTTGAATATCCCTTTCTTCCATTTTGCTTGATCTACCCATTTGCCCTTGGAATCCTATCATAATCTAATTGTATTCTACCGGGTATCAGCCAAAAATGCTTTATTAATTTTTCTATTAAGCAAGTCATTGTACTTTGGCAATGACTCTATCCCAGATCAATAATGCCAAGTCATAAACATAAAAAGATTCATAGGAATGAGCAAATTTCCTTGCCTGAACCTGAAGATTGTAATGGAGACCATGTTAGGAAACTTACATTCCCATGAACTTCTCTAAATTGTAAAAATGCTTGCTATTAAAGCTGTCAGCCTAGTTGGACTTCAAAGGATAAAGGAAGATATAACCTTGAAGTGCACATTGAGGGTCATTCTAAGACACAACCTAATAATACCAGAAGTTCCTTCTGATAATTACATCTTTTCGTGGATGGTAGAAAAAGAATCACATCCTTAACAAACTTTTTTTTTTTTTGTTTTAATTAAAAAAAGGGTTTGCTGCATGGCAATGAACTAGGTCCTATGAGATTATGATAAAATAAACTACTGATTTATTTTATATATTGCATACTGCAGTATCAATTCAACTTGCATACAAAGTTCCAATGTTAAATAGCTAATAAGTAGATCAAACTCCATCAGAAGTATACAAGTAAAAGATAGTTTCAGAATAGCTGACGGGATCTACATTGAATCATAATGACGTAGTATCAAAATTGGCATGCTGCTCAAATTTAAAACCAGACCATTGAAAATTAAGCGAGAAGAGAATTAATTACCACAGTCAAATCAAGATCAAGTTCTGACATATATGTTTGTAGAGTTGCAGCATGATTCTTGAAATATTCTTTCTCTGAGCTACTGAGTCTCTCTTCAATTTCTTCAGGAAGAACACAGTCAACCACCCATCCCAAACTTCTGATAACTTCTGCTCGATTATACCTATAAAATCAAAAGAACAAAAGAACAGAGTCAAGATGAAGAAATGATCAGAGCCAAGCCATAGTAAGAAAGATTTTACTCTAGAGAGAAAAAAAGGTTGGAGCAGATGTTGTTTACACATAAGCCATGAGACAGCGCTTATTGCGGACCAATGAGAGGTGATGGATCAGTGCACCAAACTGGTCTGATTTCATAGCTGTCTGGATTACTATCTTTTCAGCTTCTGATTTTCTCTTCTCGTCTTCTGATATTGCCATTTCATCTTCTGATATCATATTATCTTTCAACTTATTTTCACGCTCTTGTATTTTCCTGTCATATTATCAAGTTGAATGAAAAATCAGAATAAACGTTGGCATGGAACTAGCAGCCATAATCACAGCCACCCCACCCTCACAAACCTGCTCACCATATTCAATATATAGTATGACAACCAACAGAAAGGCTTCCAGCAGCAGACAAGTGGAGTCAAATAACCAATATAAGGGTTGATGGTATGACAAACAAAAATGAAGTACAAATGGAACTATGCATACTCTTTAGTTCTACATAACATCGAGATGCTGGAGGGATAATTGAAACGAAATGCTTGCACTAGGCTCCATAATGACTGGAAAAAGTAAACATGATGTTTTGATGGTCACTGAAGTCAAGAAAAGATTAAATAACTTTAACCTAAAGAAAAAATAGAGTGACACGTATCTTCAATAATTGGTCAAATTTAGATACTTCAAAGATAAGAGACGAAATGCCTACTGTGGGCTCAGTAATTCTTGGACAAAGTAAATTTGATCTTCAAATGATATACTCTAGTGAATGTCACATTGGCAAACTTTTACCCGTCAAAATGAATTGCAAGGCAATGAGTAAATCTCAAATCAGTCAACACTGGGCAACGACTTGTCATTTTGCTAGTTCAAGTAGTAATAATGGAGAGGTATTACCACCCAACAAAAAGCGAGCTAGACAATTACCGATTTCCTATAAAATGACTGGTACAAACAAATGGAAAAAAATAAGTTGAGAGAAGAGATGGAAAAGAAAATAAGCTAAATGAAAGAAGAGAAGGGGAGGTTGAGTGGGGCATACAGAGAACATTAGGAAGAGAATTACCTCATTAAGGGCTGAAGGTGAAGGAGATGACCATTACACTCTTCAATCACTTGAGCAAATAGGTCATTCTGTGCACGAAAAGAGACCAATGATGTCAAGTAATATAACTAGACCAGCCCAAAGTTTGAGCACACAAAGACCTAACTACATAAATATCATAACAGAGCAAAACTGACAGGATTTTAGAATAAGTGCCACAATGAAAATGCAGAAATCCATACATCCAGGTAGATGGAACATAATACAATATATGGTTCTGATATTTTCTTCATTTTGAAAAATAAAGGACATTTCTGCTTTTGACGTGAACAATATTGTATCCAAAGACAGAGACAAATACTGATGATAGAAATCATGTTCGGGAATCTTGTAAATGGTATTTCATGTATACTTATCTCGTAATATATCATTGGTTGTCTACAAAATGCTCATCTACTGCTTGTACTATAGTTATCAACTTAACACAACAATGAAAGTGGAATGCTTGAAAATTGAAGTGACTTTAAGCGTATGTTTGGCTCATGTTTATAAATCGTTTATAAGCACTCAAGTCACTTTGTATCCATACATTTCGAGACACCCATAAGTACTACTCACTTATTCACCACTCATATTTATATGTTTATAATTTAAATCGTTTATCAACACTTTTCAAAGGTGCTTTAAATCTTCATTCCAGGTACATCAATTTTTTTTCCATCCCCCCATTCATTTAAATAGTTATTCTTCACTTTTTTTCCTTCTCTTGGGCCACGTCTGATTGTATCTACAATATTTCGTAGGTCCTATCTTCTACACATAAGCTACATGAGCTAAAGTAACAAAATATTGAACAGAGACATTTTTTTTTTCATTTTCGTGTAATGCACCATAAAACAAGACAATACTCCATAAACGAAAAAACTAAGAAAAACTTACATTGAAAGTGGTAAGCTGCCCAGGTTCGCAGCTCACAAATTCTTTCACTAACTCACTGGCTTTTTTACCGTACATTTTCCTTAAATCTCAAACAGTAGTCCTCTTATTACTGCATTTCATTAGAAGCAATTCATCAAACAGCTTATCTACAAAACAGCAAGTATATCAAAATTCAGAAATGATATGCATGTGTAATCACTCAAACCGGTTCACAAATATAATCAAGACATATAGATTAATACATACACGAAATGCCCTTCATTTTGTGTCAGCGTGTGTGCGCGCGCACAAGCGCCCACAAACAAGTAAATTAGGGAAAAAAATACAGGCAATTCAATAATTAAAACAAATTTATACATACATGTTGGAAGTTGAAATCCCCAGAACAATAATCAACTCAAGAGATTCAGACAAAATAAAGATGAAGGATATTTGACGGGAATATTGGGAGTGAGAAAATTTTGGCGGGAGTGTTCGGAGATTTCAAAACTAAGCGCTTAAATTCATAATCTGACCTGGATTGGCCGAGTTCGGATATAGGAAGCACGGGTGGATAGGGCTTGGACAAAACTCCTAATAGGATTGAATCGGACTGATCCTACATAGAATCCAATCGAATCGTTATTCTCAAGTTAAATAGCCCAATGAGTATAAGAATTGACAATGGACTGATCCTAAATTGAATCAAATCGTTCTTCCCAAGTTAAATAGCACAATGAGGAGAATTGACAATCGAATGATTTGGTACGACTCTCGATTCTGGACCACGAATCGAAAAATCTAATAAAAACCGAATTTCCCTACCTTTTTTTTTTATATTATATAAGTCAAATTAATTTAATTTTTTTAAATAAAATTGTCAACTAATTAATTGAGCCAAAAGTATCGTATTCTTGTTTGAACCCAAACCCAACTTTGTAATTCAAATTTCAAAGAATCAAAATTAAGTGACCTAAATTGTTCTCAATCACTCCGTCATTTATCAAATAATTGAAGCTAAGCAGCTGTGCCTCTCTTCTTCTTACCATTCATTTATGTCATAATTATTGAATTTCCTCGACTTTGATCAAGGTAATTTCATCTCATTCTTTTCTAATAGTTTTCTCACACTCGATGTATAACACAGTAAGTAGCTTTAAATCCACAAAAATCCAATTTTCATCTAATATTGAATTTAAAGATAGGAAATGCTGGAGCATCCCTTTCTGTTTGTTTATCTTGTGTGTTGAATGTGACTTTGCTTGGTCTTTATGTGAAATATTTTGCAATGTATAAGAAAACTCACGCTGCTTTCTCTAAGAATGTTTTCTCAAATGATGTGACATTCTTCAGTGTGTAAGAAAATTTTAATTATGGTAACATAATTGAACCAAATCAGTTCAATAATTAAATTTAGACCCGATGGTTCCGCTTACTAAATATTCAAAAATTTTGGTACGGAATTGAATCGAATCAGACCATGTCCAGTCCTGCCGTTACATAACGCATAAATCCACTTGTGAATAAACTTATGGTGTGCATCAACTTTGAATTAAGTTTAAAATCCATCAATGAATTTATACAATATGTTACCGATACTTAACATAAGATGAGCACATGTGCTCATTAGATTATTCCTCTGATAGTACAAATTAAATCAAATGAGTTTATTGATTAAACAATTACATTTAAATATCAATGTAAATATAATCAACAAATCATCTCACTTAACTATGAATTCGCCTCCTAAAATCACTAATCTTGATGCTTCAACTAGAACAATAGGAGAAATAGTTATCTGAGAAAGAGATAGTTGAATTACATGCTCTTTTCTTCAAATGAGGTGGTATTTATAAATTTCCCTTCAAACATTGGGGTAGTCTGGTCATTTCTATATTTTGCCGATGGAAACTATTTGTTGGCTGTAATTAATAATTGATTCGGTTATGGATCACGCTTTATTCATTTGTCTATATGCTCCTTCTTAACAGTCTGTAGCCAATTGATGTATTGTAAGTGGTTCGCGATATTTATGCTAGCCTTCTGCCTTTTTATTCCCCCTCGTGTGTTGCCTTTCACCTTGTCAATGACCAGATGGGCTCGCGGACTTTAATTTGAGAATTAACAAATTGTCTCCCTAAGTCATATTTTGATATTCATATTAATTTTAGGACATATTGTTTATTTTGATACATTGCGAACCTATGGTTGCTCATATATATTTCTTCACTAGTGGTGGGTGATGTGGGTAGTTATGAGGGAACGACTATGGTTGCTGCAGTTATTTGCGTGTACCGCAAGTCCTTTTCTCATGTTTTTAGGCTCATGACCTGAACATACTTAATGCACTTGTCGTTACGTCTAATCAAGCTTGTTCTTTTTTGAATTCTTGATTAGGCGCCTCTTAACATTTGATGGTTGTGATTCTACGTGTAATCTGGTTGACTGTGATTTATCTAGACACAAAATCTAACGGTTCCGTCTCTTTCTGGAACATATTAATACGTTATTTCTCCTTGTGAGTTTCTCTTTTACCTCCTTTTGCTATTCATCTCTCCTAGCATCTTCATACTTTTTCTTCTGCCATCATGTCTTTCCTAAGTGATTCGCGAAATATTTCTCAGGGATTTGAGATTAAAGGTTCTCAATGCAGGGATTCATTTCTTGACGTACCTTCTTCTTCGGATAGATCCCAGCATCTTGCGATGCAGTCACATTTATAGACAAATCCTTCATCTTCTGGGGTTATCTTATCACTGAGTTCTCGACCTAGGGCTGATAAGGCTAGCGAGATTTTGGCTGTTTCAAAGCTTTAGAGATATTTTCAAATATTCCTAAGAAAGATTTAGGTGACATTCGGGAGAGCTTTGATGCCCCTTGTGCTATAGAGTTGATGTGTCCTGGGTAGTTTCAAACTGCGGATCTTTCCCCCCATGATTATATTATTGTTCATAGGTGTTCAATGGGTATGGGGCTTAGACTTCTTTTTCACCATTAATTTCGTATCATCCTTTCCTCTTTTAACATATCCCCACGCAACTTACACCGAATGGATGGAGCCATATGGTTAGGTCATTTTTGTTATGGAATGTTGCAGGAATGAGGGGGAGAACTTCCCACTAGATTTTTTTTCTTTCCATTTACAATCTAGTGAGAGCAAAGAATCCTATGCACCGACAAAATGGATATTATTTTTTTACTCATCACTCCCCCAAAACATACTCAAAGCTCATCACCACTCCCAATAAAGGTACATAATTGGAAGGAAGGGTTTTCTTTGCTTATGGTAACTGAGGGCTATACCCAATGATCATCATCCTGCAGTGGTCATGCCCCATTTTTACTGTGATTCTAGTGAGTGTTCAGTATTTCCTTTCTTCGCCATATATTATTATTATTATTATTTACTTAATTACATTCGGTCAGAAAAAAATGTCGGCTCCTCTTCGAGGTCAAGCTTTTAAAGATCTTTGCACTTAGGTAACACCTATTCTCAATTTGGGCTCTGAGGCCCGCGAAGCTAAAGGGCATCTAAGCTCCTTTAACCCAAAATTTCATGATGACGGAATTCAGATTACCCAGGGCAAGTTAATGTCTTTGTTTTCCTTGCTTTAATGGTCCCTTCTTATCTCTTTTTAGAAAATATTTAATTTGTTTGTTTCCTTTGTAGTGCGAACTGAATTCGATGCCACATGGTCGGTAGCCCCTATGCGCCGAAGTCTGCTGCACCTCCTTCTAAGATACAGATTCGCGAAGGCTCCAAGAGCTTTAAGGAAGTACCTTCGCGGGTGACCGAGGCTTAGTCTAAGCAATTCCATCACATGCCTCCACTAATGGAACTACATGGCCTTTGCCTATAGAATCTGCGTCTTCATCTTCTTTGAGTCCAACTAGGGATCCTAGAAAAAGGAAAGCCCCGATTGGGACTGTGCTTATTCCTGATCCTAAAGGCTCTTATTTTCCTTAGGATCCTATCCCATATTTGAAGTCTTTATTCCTTCATCGCCACGAGGGTACATTAGATGTAGGTGCTTCGTCAGTGTTTCCTCATTTTACCTATTTCAACTAGTCTTGGAAGAAGTTGGGAGAAGAACTTACTCCTTCTGAGAAGGGGAAAATGAATGATGCCTACATTCGGTGAGTTGCAGTTTTGTCTTAAGATCAACATCTGATTATGAAGCTTACACCTTAAAGGTAGCCAACTTGGAGAAGAACATTCGCTCCTTAGTAAAGAAGTGTAACTCTCTTCAAAGAAAGTTGAAGGAGGTTGAGGGCGAGAGGAGTAGGTACGAGGAGATGAGTAAGGGTGCCAAAACCTTTACGGCGAAGGAGGCTTCCTTTATGGTTCATGCCAAAAAGATTTCTTTCGATTTAAATTTGGTGAAGGAGAAGCATGCAGCCTATATTACAAGAACTGAGCATGACGATTTGCATTTCAAAAAAGAGTTCCAAATGACCAAGTCTGAGCATGAAGTTACTTTTGAGGAACTAAATAATACAAGGAATGAGATTTTGCTTTTCACAATTAATTGAGAAATACTGAGGCGAAACTGGTTGTTGCGGAGTCTAACCTTCTTAGAGCTGCTCGAGAGGCAATGTTAGTTGAGGATGCTATGCAGGTTAGGGGAAACAAAGTGCTTGACATTATTAGAAGTTTTCACCCCGAATGGTATCTGGACTTTTTGAAAGCTCACGAAGACGATGTCGAGGACATCACTTCTCTTTAGGTTCTTTTGTTGGCCTTGGGGGCTTTGGACACTCCGTCTATTCACGTTGATCTTTCTCAACTTGATTCTCCAGCTATCTCCCAAGTGGGAGTGTTGCTACTAATGAGCCTCTTGATACTTCAATTCCTACTTCTTCAAAAGCAAGGGTACCCTCAGGGAGTGAAGTTTAAGTTAACAAAGAGAATCCTTCTTCTGAGAATCATTAGTCCTAATTTAATTAGGATATCTTATTTTTGGTCTCATTATGATAACGAAACTTAATTCCTTGTTCGTATATAAAACTGCTCTTTTGGGTAATTTTATTGATAAAATATAATTTTTTTATGTCGTACGAATTTGTTCATTTGACAGTCTTTGCACCTGCGTTGT